GGGGGGGGGGGGGGGGGGCCCAGGCAGGATGGGGGGGAATGCGTATTAGGGGAGCAGCGCCTGGAAGGGGACAACAGGGCCCCAGGCAGGACCTACCTTGGCTTCGATGCCAATCTTCATGATGGTACCCGAGATAGTGAGCACATCGCTGGTGACCAGCAGGATGTACCAGCCGTTGACAAATTCCAGCCGCTCCCACAGGCTGATGACCCGTCCCCGCTGCCGCCACATGAACCCAACAAACTCCTGCAGGAGGTAGGAGGCGTGAGAGCCTGTGCAGGCAAGGGACCCGCTCTCCCCTGGCCCTTATGGCCCCAGAGCTGGGCAAGGCCGGCTTGGGCACACGTGCAGGCCACTGGAGGCAGCTCTCACGTTCTGCAGCAGAAAGCCACGGAGCAGTGAGCGGGCACACAGCAAGAAGGAGAAGGAGCAGGTGAGGATCACGACCACGTCAAACAGGAGCCGGAAGCTGTTGTCTCCTGTGAGGAGATGACTTGGGTAGAGCCAGGAGTGGCTCAGGGCCTTGGGGGACTAGGGACGGGGCTAGGCCAGGCCTAGGAGGCTGCAGGACTGGTTGTGGCTCCTCAGTGGGCTCACGGGTGACCTGGGCGAGTCAGGAACTGGGTCCGTGCTGGCCTGGGACTTGGCGGGCTCCCCGGGCAGGTCAGGACTCCCGGTCCTAGCTGGTGTGGGGTTTGGGGGCTCACCGTGCCTGAAGACGCTGGGGTGCTTACACTCCTGGATGTGGGCCTGGGTCTCCAGGCTGATGGGGATACGGCCGCTGTGCGCCTTATTGTCAAAAGTGATCTGTAGCAACACGGCAAGGCAGGAGGAGCCAGACTGGACCTTGGCACACCCAGGCTCCCAGATCCACACGATGGACGGTCTGTCCAGCCCCATCCCCCTTCTCACCCCCACGCTGCCCTTGGCCAAGGGCCCCAGCCCCGGAGCTCAGAAGCCCTGCAGGCAATCCCTATTACTGGCAGGCCCTACACCCTCGTCCCGGACCCTGGGGCTTACCAGGACACTGAAGGTGTAGCAGTCTGGAATTTCGTTGTTGATCAGGCTCTGGAGGTTGATGGTCTTCAGCTGGAAGTGGATGGTGACGTTGATCAGCCTGGGGGGTGGTGGGGAGGCCTGGGTGAGGGGGAGGGGCTCTGCCCCTCCCGCCTGCCACCGCCCGGCCCCCACCAGTGCTCCTGCCCCAACGCCGACTCTGCAGCTTGCAGAGGAAGTGCTCGCACACGGGCATCAGCGTGGCCTTCCTCTGTCCCCGCCTGTGAGGGGGCGGCCAAGGATGCCTGGCATCCTGCCTCCCCCCACCCTCGGCCCAGCCCTGGAGGCCCCCTCCATCAGGCAGTACTTGTGGAATTTGAGCGTGAGGTTCTTGTAACTGGCGCTGCCGTCCGAGAGGGAGAGATCATCACTGGGGGGCACAAGAGGTCTCTCAGGGGGGTCCACCCGGATGCAGTCTGAGGACAGGGAGTCAGGGAAGGGACACTGGGGGCGGGAGAGGCACAGGCAGGTCTCCCCAGAGTCCCCGACAGCCCCCTTCCCTCCTTCACTTCCCACTATGAGCTTAGCGGTTGTCATTTGTTCCCCCACTGTCTCCCCAGGACAGAGCCCAGTGTGTCTCATTCCGGACACAGGCCCTAGGGCCTGGCCCTCAGTGAGCCCCCAGACGTTTAGTGGATCAATGATATTAAGACACCACGCGTGCGTTTTTGGGAGGACCAAACATTCCCCCGAGGACACCCCGAGCGTCGAGTCACGTTCGATCGGGACAACCCTATCTCCTAGAAGGCTGGGAGGCAGAACCGGAATGTGACTCCCAGCGGCCGCGCTACCCCTCCTGCTGTGTCTGCCCCGCCCCGCCTGCTCACCAGTGACAACCAGCGGATCAATGTCAAAGGTGTCGTTGGCCGGGTCCACGTGGCCGCGGTGGTAGTAGTGCTGGCAGAGGGCCAGGGCCGAGCCATTGGCCCAGGGGCCACCTCCGCCCCGCACGTAGGCATACCGGCCCAGCGACACATCGGGGAGCATCAGGTACTGCGGGCAGGGGAGGGGAGAAGCCGTCAGCCCTGCCTGCTGTCCCCTGCCTGCCCGCTCGCCTGCCGCCCCCCCGGGGGGCCCCGCACCTGGTCCACGGTGTGGAAGATGGCCTGGTAGAGCTGCTCCCGCGTGTAGGCTGCGAAGGTATCATCCGCCCCATCAGAGTAGCCCAGGAGGAAGAGGTGCCGGAAGGCAATGGTGTTCTCCTCCCGGAAGGTCACTGCCAGCTGGTTGCTGAGCCCGAACAGGATGAGCTGGTGGAGGGAGCGGGCATCGACAAAACTGGGATGGGGCCTCCCCCAGGGCACGAGTGGAGGAAGGCCCACCAGAAATCCCCGGTGAGCAGCACACAGCAGGTGTTCGTGCATCTCATGCCCGAGATCAACGTTCATTAAATGTTTAGCAGGTGCCGGGTTCTGTGCTGAGCCCAAATCTACAGGGTAAGTACCACCGATGGGCCCTTGTACCGAAAAGAAATCAGAAGTGTGGTAATACGCCCCAAATCACAGCACCAGACCCAGAGCTCCTTAGGGCAGGGGCTCAGTCTGATTCGTCTCGGGGTCCCCAAAGCCCACCATGGGGCCTGGGATGGCAGCAGTATCTGCTAAGCCACCGGGTCCGTTCTCTTTGAGGCACCAGGCTGCCTGGGTTCAAGTGCCAGCTCCCCATGCTTGGTTGCTCTGTGATTTTGGACAAATCCCTTCACCTCTCTGGGCCCTGGCTGCCTCATCTGTAAAAGGGTGGCAATAAGAGTTGCCAGGACCTCCGAGGGCATTTGTGAGCTGACCAGGAGCGTTCCCACACAGACCTGGGAGAGCTTTGTGACTGATCACTGCCATTGTCACTGTCCTTACGTTGCTGCAGCATCAGGACTAGGCTCTGGCTCCAGGACTCTCCTTCAAGAACGGCGGCGGCCACAGCTGGGTTCTGCTGGGGCCCCTGCACGACTCACCTGCACAGTGACCACCAAGATCTTCACGACTTGCAGCATCAGCTTGAAGGGCTTGCGACCCTTGGCCCGGAATTTGTCACAGGGACTCATGAAAAAGTACTTGAGGCGGCGACGCAGGTCCTCCTCTTCCGGAGGGACCGGGGAAGCCCCGGCCCGGGTGCCATACCCAGGACTGGGTGTCAGGAGGCGCTCCGTCTCTGAGGGAAAGGGAGAGGGCAGTGGGGACCACCTGGCAACAGGGGAGACGGGTCCCCCGCTCCAGCCAAGAAAATAACTCCCATCGAAGAAATCCCAGAAACTGCAACGTTTTACGGATACACACAGCAATAGTGCTCAGAGGCTACCAATTCCGATTTGGGGCTCAAAAGGGCCTGAGCTCATGCGTGACCCTGTTGCTCACTGGCTGGGGCAGGGCACCCGGCCTGAGCCTCAGCTTCCTCCTCTGCAAAATGGGGCAGTAATCTCTCTCACCGGGAAGCTGAAGGTCTGATGCTCACAAAGCATCGACCACAGGGGCTAGTGCGTGGTAAGAGTGTCCGAATATCCGATCCTCATTCCAGATGTCGGTTTGTGGGGAAAGCACGAATGGCTTCCACTGGCTTCTCACAGGGCACTCAAGCCTCCAGGGCTTATATCAACTCCAGCCCCCAGGTGGGAGCATGGAGCTCAGCTACATTCCAGTTTTTTCTCTTTTTTTTTTTTTAATTTTTTTTTTCAACGTTTATTTATTTTTGGGACAGAGAGAGACAGAGCATGAACGGGGGAGGGGCAGAGAGAGAGGGAGACACAGAATCGGAAACAGGCTCCAGGCTCCGAGCCATCAGCCCAGAGCCCGACGCGGGGCTCGAACTCACAGACTGCGAGATCGTGACCTGGCTGAAGTCGGATGCTTAACCGACTGCGCCACCCAGGCGCCCCTCTTTTTTTTTTTTTTAAAGAGAAGAAGAGCAAGCATGAGTCGGGGAGGGACAGAGGGAGACAGAGAATCTTCAAGCAGGCTCGATACTCAGTGCAACGTTCAATCCCATGATCCTCGGATCACAACCTGAGCCGAAATGAAGAGCTGGAAACTCAACTGACTGAGCCACCCAGGCACCCCTTCCCGTTTTTTCTGGTCAAACACCCAAAGAAGGGCCCTTCTGCTCATCGCTCATGGTGACCTGGCCCACCCAGCTGACACTCTCACAAGCCACAGGCCTGAAGAAGGAGAGATCGACAATAACAGAGCACATTTGCTCAAGACTCACTGTACCCCAGTGGGTGTCGTGATGCCATTTGTACGTCAGTTCCTGAGCTAATACAGCATCTTCGTTAAGGGTCCCAACTTCTGGAAATCACACAGCCCTAGAAACAAATCCCAGACCTGCCACTTCCCAGTTGGGGGATCCTGGACTTCTTTTAAAACCTCCGTGTCCTCATTTGAAAAGTGGAAATTAAAAAAAAAAAAAGTCTACCCTGAGGCTGAAATTCTGGAAGGTGTTCTGAGAATGAAGACAGACAAGACAAAAGCCTCGGTTCAGCTCTAGAATCTTAGTAATTCTTCAGCAAACAGGGACTATTCTAAGCATTACTCGTTCCCTTCACTCCTGATCAGCCCAAGAGGCAAGTCCAAGGTTTCATCACCTGCTGGGGTCACAGCTGGTCACAGCAGCCCAGGACCATCCCTGACAGCCCCCCCACACACACACACACCCCTACTGGGAGAACCCTGCTTCTTTCCAGGACCTGGCTGGCTGACTGCCTGGCACAGCCACCAGGATGAATGTGGCACCGTCAGAACCTGTCGTGCAGGGAGGGCCAGCTCCTGGCT